AGGTGAGAATCTGTACAGGCCCATGTGGTGCTTATTCAAAAGAAAAGGAAGGATGCTTCTCAGTGCTCTAGCTGTAGACCAATCTCACTTTTGAACATAGACACTGAGTTATATGCAAAGGTTTAAGCAAATAGACTGAAATATTTAATGCCAGAATGGATCCCAGGGGACCAGGTGGGATTTGTACCAGAAAGAGAGGGTAAAGACAATGGGTTGAGAACTTTGGTGCTTATCCAGAAAGTTAGGAAGGGAAAAACTCCAGCGGTGGTGCTTTCAATCGATGCTGAAAAGGCATTCGATAGAGTAGATTGGAGCTTCATGATGGACACTCTGGAGACTCTAGGACTGGGAGTTAGAATGAGAGAGTGAATAGGAAAATTGTATAGCCCTCCACGGTTATTTTGGTTAACAGAGAGAGGTCGGAACCTATTGGGATGTCAAATGGAACAAGACAGGGATGCCCACTGTCCCCATTGTTGTATGTATTGTCATTGGAACCTCTACTGGCAACAATTAGAAAAAATATGGACATAAAAGGAATACAGATAGGAGGAATTGAACATAAAGTGGCAGCCTTTGCGGATGACCTGTTGTTCTATGTGGGAAACCCTAGGATAACACTCCCAAATTTAATGAAGAGCTTAAAGGATTATGGGGAGCTATCAAATTTGAAAATCAACCCAACAAAAACTGACATCTTAAATGTAAATCTTCCAAATAGTGAAAAAGAAAAGCTACAAAAAGAATTCCCTTTTATATGGAAAGATAGAAGTTAAAATATCTAGGGGTTAAACTCACTGCTTCATATACGAACTTGTATAAATCAAATTATATCACTTTTAAATGAGATTAAGGAGCAATTAAAGAAGTTGGGAGGAGGTAACCAGTCTTGGATAGGGCGCAAAAATCTGATAAAAATGGTAATAGTACCTAAAATCCTGTATAAATTCCAGATGATCCCGATGAAACTTCCGGAGGTTTTGTTTAAGGTAATTTAAAAAGATGTTAACAAGATATATATGGAAAAATAAAAAACCTAGAATATCTTATGATTTGTTGAGTAGAAATAAAGAGAAGGGAGGATTGGGAGTGCCAGATATTAAGAGGTATTATAGAGCAGTAGTTCTAGCAAGAATTTATGACTGGACACATAATCCAGAGGGGAAAAGATGGGTCAAGATTGAAAATGAATTAAGCGGAGTTAACTTGAGTAAAATCATATGGGTACCAGCACAATATAGAGGATTAAAAGATACCACGAGTGTTTTTATACATTAAATGTTTTAAAGGTTTGGGATAAACTACACAAGCTTATGAAATAGGATTTTAATTCACAATTAATGTCACTGAGGAACACAGAGTTTTTCCCTCCAGGTAGGGAAGAGAGCACAGGAAAATGGTTTAAAAAGGAAAATATTCAATTGAGGGATGTTATGGAAGGGCAGGAATTGAGAACACTTAAGGATTTGAAAAAGACAAAAGGGAACTTTAAGGTAGATGAGTGGAGATACCACAAATTGAAACACTTTGTCAGGAATCGTCCGAAACCTTTGAGATTCAGAAGGGATTGGCATTTTTTTGAGAGGCTGTTGGAATCACGTGGAGATGGGAAACTGGGCACGGAAAAAGTTTATAAAATTCTCACTGAGTTGGACACACACGCAAAGCCGATGTATATAGTAAAATGGGAAAGGGATTTGGGAATAGAGATAGATGAAGACAAACAAAGGAAAATATATAGACTAACACACGAGAATATAAGCCTGAGAGAGGTGGAGGTAAATTATAAGTGTTTAACAAGATGGCACATTGCACCGAACGTTGAATATAAGATGAGTGGGGAGAATACACTGGAGTGTTGGCGGGGGTGTGGAAAGATAGGTACGTTATATATCACATATGATGGGAGTTCCCAAAGATTCAAGGTTTTTGGGAGACAATAGTTAATTTGATTAGGATATCTGGGATAAAGATAGGATTGGATCCAGAGTTGTGTCTATTACATAGTACAGAGCTATCCGTGAACAAATACAAGGATTCGGGTATATGGTATTATCTGAATGCGGCAAAGGGTCTGATACCTAAGTTTTGGCATAGCTCAGAGGTGCCGAGAGAAGAGGATTGGGTGGAAAGAGTGAACCAGCTATGTAGGATGGAGAAACTGTATTATATGCAAGAAGACAAGATGGGGTTATATTATATGAGGTGGGGAAAATGGGAAGATTTTGTGTCCAAGGTGAAATATATGAAGCAATAGAGTGGGATATGTGAAAGTACTTAAGAAAAGATGTAATGGAGAAATGCAGAGTGGGTGGTTTTATGGGTGGGGCGGGGGCAGGTTTTTAGGGTGGGTGGTGGTATTAGATAGGCGGTGGGGGTGCAATGGGAATAAAGATAGAAAGGAATATAAATGATGGATTTGTATGTTATATGAGAGTAATGATGGAACATGTATTTTATATGGAAAATTAATAAATATTTAAGTAAAAAAAAAAAGTGGTTTAGTCAGACACATTTCCAAACCTATATGTAAGCTGCAGTGGTCATGTCAAGGTACCCCAGTGTACTGCAGTCCTAATTCTATAATTTTGAGATTCTCCCAAGTTGGAGCACATATAGCGGAGGATAGATTAAGGGCAGGTTTGCTGGAGGGAATTCAACCCCTTCTTTAAAGGTACAGGATGCATGGGACACACAGCAAGGGCACAGTGGTAGCTGAAGGCTACCATTGCGACTCTCCAGATTTAGAGTTAGGTCTGCAGTAGACTGGGGAGCCTTGACATAGGCACTGCAACTTACACGTGTGTATGACTAAACTCCTTGTTTTTAACATGAACTGTTAGACAGGTCAATTTTGTTGCAGGCTAGCTGATAAGTCAGCTGGAAATTTGTTTCATCCCTTCACATTTTCAGTAGTTCAGTTTTCACCCAGGCTATGCTGTTGTGAATAAATCTGCCCCCAATTCCTAGTTGGTAATTTAGTTATTTGACAACTCATTTTTGGTTAAAGTAGACCTTCACCCTAACTGACATCATGTGCTGCCCTGCTTCCTTCCCCCTCCCTCTTACCAGTGGACAATAATTTTTTTGACAACATACTTAAATACAGCACTTCCACTTTTCTTGGCCAAGTGAAATATTCTCTCTCTCCCCTCTCACGCGTGTGTGCACAGATGTGCCGCAGGGCTTCACTACCAAGAGAGCCATTCTGTAGTGAAAACATTAATGCTTCATTCACACTGGGGTGTTTCAAATCGCAGACAGAATCACTGTGATGACAATGTGAAAACACGCAATCTCGTGTCCATTCATTTAAATGGAACCTAAAAACGTGGGGCATTTTCGGCACAATTGCGGCACGGTTTTCTGCACAAAAAAAGTGCCTCGATCACGTGGCGCCCAAAAATGGTTCTGGAATTTTTGTTTGGATGATTGTGGTATTTGTCACGTGGAAAAACACAACCTGCGTTTTCATGTGCCATTGAAATAAATGGCACCTGGACACATGATTTAAACGCCCTAGTGTGAATGGAGCCTAATTTACAGATTGCAGGTAGGAAGATCTTACACTAGGTAAGCAAAGTCTATAAAACCTGAATCGTAAAAAAGAAATAAATGATAAAATCCTCACCTAGCCCGAAGTGCGTTCCAGGCCTCTCATTTTCCATATTCTTATTACATTTAGTAAAAAGTCCCTTTTTGTCTTTAACAATAACCAAATTTAAGCTGATGTTTAACATAAATGGCAAGTTGTCATATTGCTTCTTAATGGCTGTATATATGGCTGCCTGAAAGTATGTCAAATATGTTTACTGGGTTTTCTTATGAAATTATCGTAAAGCTATCATACTGAAAGATAAATGTCATTGGCCTTGGTATATCTTAATTCTAATATTGTAGCCTATTTGTTGTGTTATCAGAGGAAAAGCAAAAGACAGCCCTGTGTGAATGGCACTCAGTGACACAGAAGAACACAAAATCAGAATCAGACACCCAGAGGCAGAGGAGTGCTTCCAACATCACTAAAGATTATGACTTGCTCGATGATGGAGGGGACACTCTGTTGAATCAGTTGGTGAGGATTTTAACTTCGTCAAATATACTTTTATGCTGAGGTGTCTTGAGATTGCCTTTTTCATTAAAAAGAATAACTAAGACAAGTGTCCTTTCTGTTCTCAAAGAGCAGCACTGTATTTTATGGTTTTCTGTCAGTGGCACAGGAAATTATAGCTCCAATTTCAGGTAAAACTTGGGATCTGTATGAAGAGTGGATCCCTCTAATGGCAGCTCGTAGACTAAAATTAACAGAAATTTCCTGATCTACTCAGGTTTTCGCTAATCGTGCACATTATGAGGCAATGATCATTTTCCAGTCTGCACAACAGAGGACTCATCAGGGCACTGTCACATATAGGAAGAAGGATTCTCACTGTACATGACTGCTAACATCACTTCCAGCATCAGGTATAGAATTAGCGTAAGGTGGAGGAGAGTAGCTGCCAGGACCTAAAAAGAGGCGTCGGCTAGGAAATTAGAGCTGAGGGAGGTGAGGCTTGCAGGCTGCCCAGCATATACAGACTGATGTGTGGAGATAAGGGATGACAATACGCACAGAGGGGAATGTGCCTCTCTGTTCTGTGTGACATTAGACACTACCCATCCACTTCCTAGTCAAATGCCCCCAGCCTTAGGAGGAGTGATCCATGGAAGGCTGTGAAGTCCTGTAACTGCAGACTCAAATATCATAAAAAGGTACTCCACTTTTTTTTCACAGAGCTAAATGTAATTTATTAATAATTGCCATTTTCAAGATAATTCCTGTGTTAAATATGCTTTTGTTGCAAAGAATTCATATATTCTTTGATGTTTTGGGCTTGTATTCTCTTATGTTTAACAACATAGCAGTCATGGTCTGCCATGTATGCTTAACATTTCCCTTGTGATTTTTGACTTGTCTCTTGCTGTTTGCGCATGTGAAGATGGAAAAAGATGGAAACAGTCTAGATCCGTGGCTGATCAGAGAAATGGACTCATGTCTTTCGAACATTTGGTTGAACAAAGATGTTGATGCTTTTCCTCAGCTGTTTAACTTGATACTGACAGAAAATGTTAGTGGTAAGTTTTAATCTTTGTATTACTGTGTACTGTTTATTACATGTCATGTCATCCCATATTCTCTTGATCCATGGCATAATGTTGAGACTTTGGCTTCTACAAAGTAACAACTTGAGAACATGTTTTCTCTCTTCAATACTCATTCATTACAAGACATAGGAATTCTGCCACCTTTAGGTTCTACTGCCACTTAGAAGAGGATTGGACGTTTGACAAACAAAACAAAACTGTAGGGCAGCTCTAGAAATTACTTATTTTCCCAAATCATCTTCTAGGACATCTACCTGAGAGATGATTGGCTTTGCCTTCAACAGGAAACACAAACCAGAAAGAGATTAATGACTTGCCGTCTGCCCACAGTAGTTGTACTGCAAGCAGTTGGCATCTCCAGGCCAGGGTGACATACCTGCGCGTCATGATCTTCCTTCTGGCTTTAGGGCACGCAGGCTTGCTCTACCTGTCAACCCGTGCTGTTATTGGACACAGCACAAGCTTGGTAGCTGAATTCAGCCAATAATTTTAGCCAATAATTTCAGCCAATAATTTTTGGCAATAATTTACAAAAAAATTTGATTTTTAAATTTTTTTTTTTTAATTAGGTAGACTTTACAGCAGAAAGTATCTTTTTCGTTTCTATTGCAAACGATAAAAAAAACCCCAGTGGTGATAAAATATCACCAAAAGAAAGCTCTGTTTTTGTGTGAAAAAATTATAAAAATTTAATTTACGTACAGTGTTGCATGTTGCAAAAGCCCCTCCCTCTTCATCTTCAGTTGTTTGTATTTCCAGTCATCTATTAGTACATTTTGTCATGCTTGTTTTGTTTTCTCTAGCTCAATTGTGGTTATCCGGCTCTTCCCAGGTGATTAGGTCCTGATGTTCCTGTGTATGCAGATTTTGGGTGCTGTTTTCAGCTTTGACTTTTGGTCTTTACTACAAATGACCATTATTGAGCTAGCCATGTTTCTGAAGACTCACTCCTGTGTGTAGGCTGATCTGTCCAGACATTGGAAGCTCCCCTATTTTTATTAGTTGCTATGCCAGCCTGTTGGGCTGGTGGGAGAGTCCTGGCCACTCTGTCAGTTCAAGGGTCGTTGCTGGAATCTCATTTCCTGACCAGCATTTTGGGTGATCTGCGTGTACCTTCAGTGTAGGACTGAGCTATTAACAGGTCATTTAATCTGGATTTAGTTGAACAGCACCATGGTGAATGTCCATACATTAATCCTAAGGGAGGAACAATAAATCTTGTTGTTGCAAAAGTGGTAGAATTAATCAATTCTTGAACACAACATCATGTTTCAGCTCTGTCAGCTTTGTGCATCCCCAGCGTTGACAATGGCACTCAGATTTTCTCTGCCAGCAGCATGTGGACCCAGTAGAGCGGTTCCTATACCTGGAAGTGTTCTAAGACTTGTGTCACAGTAGTGAATGCTGGATATGGCCCTCCTGGTCTGCAGATTCAACAGCAAACTGGACTGCTTTGTATTTAGGTCCAGGGATCCACTGGGGGAAGCAGTAGTTGCACTAGTCTCTCCATTAGATCAGTACAATATGATCAACACATTTCCTCCCCTTCAGCTTTTACCTTAGCTGCGATGCTAGATTCAGATAAAGGGTATTCCTTGTTTTCTCATAGCCCAGGAAAGTGGTAAGCTTTCTCAACGACTCAATGCCTACTCTTCCAGACCATCTGAACGTGCTGTCCCAAGGACTGATTTGCCACCATACTACTGGCTTCATCTACTTGGATTTTAAGCCCAGGGGCATCTATGAGTTTCTTATTCCTGTGACACTCAAAGCTAGGAAATCTTTTCACAAGGTCTATAATCGATCTTTGCACTTGCATTTCAGCATTAGACCTCTGTTTCCCCAGGTTGTAAGGCTTTTGCAATTTCTGCCACTTCTGAAGCCAACTTCCTAGGGTTTTTTTTTTTGTTTTTGTTTTTTGGAGGGGTTTTTGCCTGTGTTGCCTATCCCTCAATTGGACAGCTTCTTATATATCCCAAAGGTTTCAGAATTCATGTATCCCTTGATGAACGATGTAAAGAAAATACTCACCCTAAAATCCTTTTCTTGGAGGTAGTTGAAGAACATAGGTCACACCTCTGTGTCCATTCCTCTTGTAGGTTGCAGTGTAAGGCAAAGGTTTCAGGAATCCTGTGTCCCTCAATAGACAAAGAGAGAAAAAAAAATCCTATTTAAAATGGTGACTGCAAGTTGTACTAGTAACTTATTTGTAGATGAAGGTTTTTGAGCTCCAAAAGCGTCCAGGCGCAAAAAAGTAATTATTAGGAAGGGTTTTTTATATATATAGAATATATTTTTTTTTTAGTTTAGTGACCTTTTTAAAAAAAAAAAAAATCCTTTGACCACTCTAAAATGTAACTGTAAAGACCCTATTACCCCCTTCTATGTGTCACATTCATATGTATTTTTTACTTTGTTACTGGAAGTTCATTCCCCTTTCATTGGCTCTAAGGCCCACCTGCTTGCTTCCTACTATACACTGAGTTGTAGGGCTTTGCTATGTGTGTGGGGCTCAGACTCAGTCAGGCAAGTTGAGCTTTGGCAACAAAATTAAACCAGGATCAGAGAGGTGCATAGAAGAATCTTTTCTGGCTAATATAGGTAATAGTGGGCCTTTTATCGTGCCTTCTCTTAGACAAAACTTAATAGATTTAAAATGTCTGGCTGGTTTGCTTAAAAATGTTTGAATAAATGGCAAGGGTCAAAAATCTAGTTGCTGTTGGGCACTGCCACTAGACGGGAAACATAGAAACCATCTGGCCGCAACGCCGAAAACACATTAGGAAGCAGGCGGATGCATCTTTGCAATCCGGTTTGGGATCAGGTACCACTTCAATAGTGTTTTATAGCTCACTTCAATTAAGGTGGTGTTGATAGAAACCTTGGATAGTGCTAAGACTATATCTTGCAAATCTGATATATCATAACTGATATTCAGGTCCCTTTCCCATTGGTCCATATAGGGAAGTTAACAACTTGGATCAGTAAGAAGGGCATACACCGTAGAAATACGGCCTCTAGAAAGATTGTTACTTTGACAGGAGATTTCAAAATTGGGAAGAATGGGTGGTCCATCCAGTAAACTAGTTTTTCAAGTGGATAAATGAGGCAATTTGATAAAATCTAAAAAAATTTCAATGGGAGGCATCTGTAGTTTGATTTTAAAATATTGAAGAGGGTAAACTCGGGTGCCCCGGAGGTAGTCTCCTATCCGCAGTGACCCCTTATTGATCTACCATTGGAATGTAGCTGGAACCAGGCCAGGTATAAATTCAGGATTACAAAATATAGGGGCTAAAGGTGTGTGTAAAGAGGCTAGAGTTTTACGATGGTGTACCCTATTCCAGATCGACAGCGAGAAAGATAAAGTGGGACATAATATAGGAGGGCAAGATCGACTAGGGAGCCAAAGTAGAGCTTATAAAAATAACATTTAATGTGATATCCTAACTTGATTTTGCTGGTGCCCTGTCAATCTATTTTATCGTGGTGTTAAAGCATTCCTAATTTAGATTTAGGATTATTTTTGGTCAAAGAATTGAGATGCTGCTTGTAGAATTTGTACTCACCAGTGGAAGACTTATTACCCTGTCTTGTTTATCACTGTACTGTTTTTTTTTTTTTTTTTTTTTTTTTTTTTTTTAGTTGATTACAGACATAGTGAAACAGGCGCATCTCCCTTGATGTTGGCAGCGGGACAAGGATTTTTGAGTCAGGTGGAACAGCTTATTAGCATGGGAGCCAATATTCACAGCAAAGCTTCAAATGGATGGTAATTGCATGCCTAATGTATTCAAATTACTGTATGCATAGTTGGCTTTACTATTTCAATTATTAAACGCTGTCTGTTTTATCCTCCGTTGCCTGATGAATGCATTTAATGTGATCATAACTCATTTCGAGTCACCTTTTATTACACCATTTCATGTAGCATTTGCTTCTACTATAGATCCTTACATTATTAAGTTTGATTAAGCAGGAATGTTTGTTTGAGACATTTCTTGATTTATACGAAGTTTTACAGGCACATAGGCTAAATTTTAAATAGGTGCTTCACAAAACAGGTCAACAAAAGGCTCAATGAGTAATATACCAAACAGATCAGCTAAGGGCATGTAGACATATATGGAGAAACTTGACACTTGCGCAAGAGATTGGAACTTAAATTAATCAATGCTCATATGTGCTCAGTGAAGTTTTTGCTTTGTCCTGCAATCATATAAATTAATAGCTGGCTGGAGGACTAGTCCCCATTGATTCTGCAGCCTGTGCTCTTTTTGCAGGTTTAACCTGAAGGGCTTTTTTGTTGGCGAAAATGTCATGGAATGGGCTATAGATGCACTGTACCACCTAGTACAAATATATTTAGTCTACTGCTTCAGTTTAACAAATGAGCCCCAAGATGTCAAGTATGACAGATGCTTTGCTAAAGTCCAGTAACTCTAAAGTTTCACATCCTGAAAAGACATGCCCTATTAGTGTTTATCAGTTTACAACTTCAAAGCCTATTTCAAGGAGGTCCATAGTATTGTGTCCTTAATAAAGCAGCAAAAAAAGCACTGATAATGTACAAATTCAGTGACCTTAATAACCTTTGTGAGTGCACTGTGCCTTATTGAATTTGAATAAGAGTGTCAAAGATCCTACACAAACAATATACAGTGTTATGCCCATTTGTTAAATCTTAAACTGTAACGGCTGTTTGCATGAATTTTTATGATTTGTAACAATGCTTTTCCCCACACATTTTTCTCGGTAGGATGGCTGTGGACTGGGCTAGGCACTTTGGGCAGACTGAAGTTGTGGATTTGCTGGAGTCCTACAGGTAAATATTACTATGTGTTTTTATATTCTGTTTTCATGTTTTAGAAGCTCGAATGCTAACCAAGCAACCATTTATGTTGTCTGTTAGTGTTTCACAGGAGCCAAACAGTTTGGATGAAACATCTCTGGTCCAGGCTGGTGGAAGTAACCTAAGTGAAGAGGAGCAGGAACTCCTCAAAGCGTACCACCATAGCTTTGATGATGAAAGGGTGGACCTTGATTTGATAATGCATGTGCTTTATAACATTTGTCAAAGCTCTGAGTCAGGTACAGTGCCATGAGTGCATGAGATGTGTTAAATGAATCGTAAAGAAATTGGGGCATCTTCTTGGATCTTTTACTCAACTTACTGGTGTGTGCATTGCAGCATATTTTCAGATGTCTGACCCTTCTTCCTGTTGTACCCTAACTCTACCCTTGAGGGTATTAGTATGTATTTGCAGTGCAGTATGGTGTGTTTTTTGATGTAGGTGCTGTGGTCCAAAATCTGACCTGTCACAAGTTAAATTTGAGGGCTGCCATTGCAGTCCTCCTCCTTAAAATGCTGGTTGACCTAGAACAAGTGTGAAGACTATAGAAAAGCCCAGTCAATAGCCATGCAACTTTTTTTAAAAGAAAGGGTTAGCAGTGACAATCTTCATGCTTGTGTCATAACAGATTTAAAAGGATATATAGCCAAGGCTAGTATCATATGTAGTTGATATTGCCTTTTTAAATATTTTTGAAATGCCAATGCTGAATATTACAATTTATTTCCTAACTGCTGCATAGACTTTTTGCAGGTGTGCAGTGCCTAGTTCAGGCCAAACTTTACACATGCAAGTCTATTTGAAGGGTGTTGGAACTGTTGTTATCCAAAAAAAAAATATGTGTACTGTTTTGTAACAGAGGGGTGGCTTCATGCTGAAATTGTTCCAGAACTAGCATTCCAAGGAAACACACATAGCGTTTATATTTGAACTCTAACATTTTGTTACAGCACCACAGATTTCTTTTTGTCAACAAGGAACTTTTGAGGGCAATCAGTTAAGTTCAGTCTGAGGCAGGGGTGGACTGACCATTTGGAAACTCGGGCACTGCCCGAGGGCCCGGGGTCAGTAGAGGGCCCCATGAGATGCCCCTGGTACCTTTTTTCATAGGCTTTTTTGGGTTTGGGCAAGGACACGGGCCCCATGATCCCCTATTGCCCGGGAGCCCCGTGAGTTGTTAGTCCGCCCCTGGTCTGAGGGCAGGTAAATTTGTTGATCTAAGCTTCCACCTTAGCTACCCATATACTGCTCAATTTCCCCTGCATTAGGACGTGAGCTTAACCCGAGAGAAAAGCAGATTATATTCTCTTCCCATCCATGTGAATAGTATGGATGGAGGAATCTGCACTACTGTCTGTTGTGTTTAGGCAGTCACTGCACATGCTGCTGCCTGAATACCCAAGCAGTGACTGCATCAGATAAAATGAAGTCACTGGTCGATAATTTTATATGCTCAGTTGATTTTTTTTTTTTTTTTTTTTTTTGACCTTTGTTAACTTGAGTTATGCTTGCAGGGCCACACATGGTGCATATTTCAACTTTACTCTTCCATTGTTCTAATAAATACAAACCGTGGCTAAGGGAGAAAAAGGTACCCCCAACCCCATCACATACACATTATATACCTCATACGACAAGAGTTTAGTGTGCATAGAATCACCATTGGAAGGGGCATAGAAGTGATGTGCAGGAGGTGGGTGGTGGTTAATTTCAGAGAGCAGCTTGGAAGAAATGCAGGCTTGCTGATCAGGATGTGAAGCTCTGAATGCCGACTAAATGACTACTCGTTGATTTACTAATGGGAGCTCGAGGGTTGAAATGAAATGTTTTGGGTGTACAGTGGATTAAAAAAAAGTCTACACACTCCTTTTAAAATGTCAGGTTTCTGTGATGTAAGAAAATGAGACAAAGATAAATCATTTCAGAAATTTTTCTTTTTTTTTTTAATGTGACCTATAAACTGTACAACTCAATTGAGAAACAAACAAATCTTTTAGGGGGGAGGGCATGTAAACCTAGAAAAACTAAAAAAAATGTGGTTGCATAAGTGCACATCCTCTTATAACTGGCGATGTAACTGTGTTCAGAATTAAGTAATCGCATTCAAAAGCATGTTAAATAGGAGTCAGTACATACCCGCCATCATTTAAAGTGCCTCTGATTAACCCGAAATAAAGTTCAGCTGTTCTAGTAGTCTTTCCTGACATTTTCTTAGTCGCATCCTACAGCAAAAGCCATAGTCCGCAGAGAGCTTCCAAAGCATCAGAAGGATCTCATTGTTAAAAGGTATCAGTCAGGAGAAAGGTACAAAAGAATTTCCAAGGCATTAGATATACCATGATATACCATGGAACACAGTGAAGACAGTCATCATCAAGTGAAGAAAATATGGTACAACAGTGACCTTACCAAGAACTGGACGTCCCCCTCCAAAATTGATGAAAAGATGAGAAGAAAACTGGTCTGGGAGGCTGCCAAGAGGCCTACAGCAATATTAAAAGAGCTGCAGGAATATCTGGCAAGTGCTGGCTGTGTAGTACATGTAACAACAATCTCCCGCATTCTTCATATGTCTGGGCTATGGGGTAGAGTTTCAAGACGGAAGCCTTTTCTTACGAAAAAAAAAACATCCAAGCGCAGCTAAATTTTGCAAAAACTCATCTGAAGTCTCCCAAAAGCATGTGGGAAAATGTATTCTGGTCTGATGAAACCAAGGTTGAACTTTTTGGCCACAATTCCAAAAGATATGTTTGGTGCAAAAACAACACTGCACATCACCAAAAGAACACCATACAGTGAAGCATGGTGGTGGCAGCATCATGCTTTGGGGCTGTTTTTCTTCAGCTGGAACTGGGGCCTTAGTCAAGGTAGAGGGAAGTATGAACATCTCCAAATACCAGTCAATATTGGCACAAAACCTTCAGGCTTCTGCTGGAACGTTGAACATGAAGAGGAACTTCATCTTTCAGCATGACAACGACCCAAAGCATACATCCAAATAAACGAATGGCTTCACCAGAAGAAGAGTAGTTTTGGAATGGCCCAGCCAGAGCCCAGACTGAATCCGATTGAAAATCTGTGGGGTGATCTGAAGAGGGCTATGCACAGGAGATGCCATCGCAATCTGACAGATCTGGAGTGTTTTTGCAAGGAAGAGTGGGCAAATATTGCCAAGTAAAGATGTGCCCTGCTGATAGACTCATACCCAAAAAGACAGAGTGCTGGAATAAAATCAAAAGGTGCTTCACTAAAGTATTAGTTTAAGGGTGTGCACACTTATGCAACTATATTATTTTAGGTTTTTATTTTTACTTCCCTCCATTAAAGATGGAAAAAGTTCAGAAATTATTTATCTTTGTCTCATTTTTGTACGTCACAGAACCCTGACATTTTAACAGGGGTGTGAAGACTTTTTATATCCACTGTATATACAATTTGTTGTGTGATGTCCTCCCCTTGCACTGTGCTGTACATGTATACTCTGCGGTACCTTAAATATTCCACACTACTCAGCTTTGAGCACAAATCATCCCTGTCTTGCCATGTTAATAGACAGATGTTATCCATACCATTAGGATTTCTGAATTCCACACTGTACAATGAATGGACACACTGTTGCATGGGTATATTTAAATTATTGAGAGACTGTTTCATATACTTCATGTAATAATTTCATCTTCAGCATGCTGATTGTTTTTCAGGGGCCATACTAATATTTCTTCCGGGTTATGATGAGATTGTAGGATTAAGGGATCGCATTTTGTTTGATGACAAGAGATTTGCCGATAATGCCAACAGGTATATATTTCTCAAATATGGTGTATATATCTGCAGTTTGATAAAGAATACATTGCTGTATGTTTAATTTTAATGAGCATGTTTAGGAAATAGTTGCAGTAGCAGGTGGACATGAAAGCTTCATTAAGTAACAGCTTTGAATGATGTTGAAGCTATTGGCGACCATAACTATGCTCTCTTTTTGAACTGTGCAAGGTTCCAGGTGTTCATGCTGCACTCAAACATGCAGACATCTGATCAGAAGAAGGTCTTAAAGACTCCTCCAGCTGGAATCCGGAAAATTGTAAGTGTTAATGTGTAGTAGGAGATGTGTAGTGTTTTGTATATTTTTTTTTCATTTTTTTTTATCATGTTGTAGTCTTCTTTTCCTGTGCTTACAAGACTGATTGTAGCTGCTATAGTGATAAAAGCCTGTTGCTCACACAAAATAACAACTTAGTCACAAATTTAGAGACTTCAAATTTAGAGGCTCTAAAGTCTTGATACACAAAAAAAAAAAAACGTGGCTACAAATACTGAAGCTGCCTACTTTTTTTTTTTAAAGGAACACTCACCTGTCCAGGGATCCAGTGTTGTCCTCAGCTGGGTCTTCACCGGGCTTCGAGTCCCTGGCGCTAGCATTTGTGTTAAGGGAAGATGGCTCTGACTCCTGTTTGTGAATGGACCCACAGCCTCCTGGGACCTGGATTGTGCCCCAGAAGGTTGCTGGCGCGGAAGGGGCATGGGAGGGAGAACATCTTCTCTGATCGTCTAGGCGGTAGGAGTGAATATGGGAATGGGTACCTGCTAAAACTAAGGTATCCACTCCCTAAAACAAACCTTTAAAAGTGGGAGTGGAGGGGAGAAAGCGTCAAAGCAGTGGGAGTGGAGGGGAAGGAAGTGTCAAAGCAGAACTTCCCTATTAGGGTGAAGGTTTGCTATACCGGATTCAGCAGAGTGACTGATTCTCATTCCTCTTCTTTCTTGCTTCCTGTGTACAATCTACAAAAAAGAGGTATTCTGAAATAAAACTGCTTCTGCTGTCTCATAAGAAAACCAAAAATACTCTTTGAAACCAAATTGCAATACAATTGTTTTCCCTCACTGTTAGTTACATCTTTGCCCGTTTTTTTCCGGGTTAGGTAGCTTTGGCCATTTTGCTTGGCTACACCATGGTGACATAACTCCTGTGCATGTGCACTAAATTTAATTTATCCCAGCATTAAGGCATACTGTATATGCGTAGCTCAGTATACATTTTAAAGAAATTTGTGACCAAAAAGGTAAGAAATTTTTAGTGCAGAAGAGACAGCGAGGGGAATTTACTAAGACTAAAGCAGCCAGAAATTAGAGGAGCTGCTTCATATGACGTCCTCCCAGAACGAGAGAACCACCTTGTGTCCGTCATATTACTATATGGCGGGCGGGAGGTGGTTAAATATGTACAGTAGTTGTAAAATGAACGCCTTATGTAAATTATTTGAACTCCAAATTTTTGGTATTAGGTTTTACCTTTTCTGTCCAAGTTAAGTTAATAAAGATGCAAGTCTTCTGGGCCTATTAGGTTTATTCAGGTTTTATATAAATCACTTGGATAATGGATCCCAAAAGCTTGCATCTTTAATAACATAAAGCGGAGCTCCAGTCAAACTTACAAAAAGAAAAGTCAGCAGCTACAAAAACTGTAGCTACTGACTTTTAAAAAAACAGCCATTCACTTGTCCCATGATCCAGCGGTGTACTCTCCACAGCCTCTTGCACCGGCTGTCCGCGCTTCCCGGCTCTGGCATCCTAATTGTGGGCACCTGGCTGTGACATCTTGTTGCTTCACAGCCAGGTGCTCACTGCACATGTGCGAGTATTGCTGTGCCTTGTGATTGGTTCCGTAGTCTTCTACATGACAGGTCCCAGAAGCCTTGGTCAGTGGTCTCTGAACTACAGCCCAGGGGCCGGATGCGGCCCTTTGCTTGCTTTTATCCAGCCCTTAGGGCACTATTTAATCCACTGACACCAACAAAGGGGTTTAAATCCTCCCAATGACACCAATGATGGGGCACATTTCCCACCAATAACACCAATGAAGGGGCACAGTTCCTCCCAATCACACACCAACAATTGGGCCCAAGGACACCGATAATGGGGCTTAATTCCTCCCAATCACATGATCGATCGGGCACAATCCCCTTACTGACACCAAAGATGGGGCATTTTCTACTCCCACTGATGCCGGGGGCATTTTCTACTCCCGATGGTTTGGCCCCCCTAAAGTCTGAAGAACAGTAAACTGGCCCTTTGTTTAGAAAGTTTGGAGAACCCTGGCCTAGGTGATCGCAGCGGAAGTAGAAGCGGGTACTTGTCAAAATCGGGTACCCCCTCCCCAAAAGTGCCAATTCCTCATGGGGAGCGGGGGACTAGTACTTAAAGCAGAACTTCCCCTTTTGGGTGGAGCTCCACTTTAAGTTAGTTAACTAAAAGTATCACTTCAAACTTTTGCCAGTAATTGATAGCTAACATAGTACAAGATTCAACAATGCGTAAAAATATATTTATAAATAATAAGAAATGTAAAATTATTTCGCTTTAAAACCATTATAATTATTGTCCCTTAATACAAAGCATTGTCTTGAATTTTACAGATACTTTCCACTAATATAGCAGAAACCAGTATCACCGTCAATGATGTTGTGTTTGTCATAGATTCTGGGAAAGTGAAAGAGGTAAGTCGATTTCCAGTTGTAAAATAGTACCTTACACACCAGGGGAGGAGTACGCGTGTGTGTGTGTGTGTGTGTGTGTGTGTGTGTGTATGTATATATATGTGTGTATGTATGTATGTATGTATGTATGTATGTGTGTATATATATATATATATATTATCTATATATATATATATATATATATATACACACACACATATATATCAGGTCCATAAATATTGGGACATCGACACAATTCTAACATTTTTGGCTCTATACGCCACCACATTGGATTTGAAATGAAAAGAACAAGATGTGCTTTAACTGCAACTGTCAGCTTTAATTTGAGGGTATTTACATCCAAGTCAGGTGACAGTGTAGGAATTACAACAGTTTGCATATGTGCCTCCCACTTGTTAAGGGACCAAAAGTAATGGGACAATTGGCTTCTCAGCTGTTCCACGGCCAGGTGTGTGTTATTCCCTCATTGTCCCAATTACAATGAATAGATAAAAGGTCTAGAGCAGGGGTGGGCAAACTTTTTGACTTGAGGGCCGCAATGGGTTCATATATTGGACCCGGGGGCCGGACCAAGAGTAGATGAATGATGTGTATGTGTCATCCATAGTAAGTATAGTAATATTCCCCCATAGTAGGCATAGTAATTCATCCCCCATATAGTAATTCATCCCCCATATAGTAATTCATCCCCCATATAGTAATTCATCCCCCATATAGTAATTCATTCCCTATATTAATTCATCCCCCATATTAATTCATCCCTCATATAGTATTTCATCCCCCACAGTACTATTCCCCCCCCAAGTAGTAAGCCAAGTCCCCACTGTGTCAATTCACTTACCTTTGCTCCGCGCGTTCCTCTCGCCGTGTTCCCGCGCCGTTCCGGTCTTCAGGGCGGACTGTGAGAGGAGCCTAGCTCCCCTCACGTTCGTCAAGCTGCCCCACCTACACACATCCTGACAGCCAATGTATCACGCTCCGCGGGCCGGATTAAAAGGTCCGCCGGGCCGTAAACGGCACGCGGTCCGTAGTTTGCCCATTGCTGGTCTAGAGTTCATTTCAAGTGTGCTATTTGCATTTGGAATCTGTTGCTGTCAATTCTCAAGATGAGATCCAAAGAGCTGGCACTATCAGTGAAGCAAGCCATCATTAGGCTGAAAAAACAAAACAAACCCATCAGAGAGATAGCAAAAACATTAGGCGTGGCCAAAACAACTGTTTGGAACATTCTTAAAAAGAAGGAACGCACCGGTGAGCTCAGCAACACCAAAAGACCCGGAAGACCACGGAAAACAACTGTGGTGGATGACCGAAAGAATTCTTTCCTTGGTGAAAGAAAACACCCTTCACAACAGTTGGCCAGATCAAGAACACTCTCCAGGAGGTAGGTGTATGTGTGTCAAAGTCAACAATCAAGAGAAGACTTCACCAGAGTGAATACAGAGGGTTCACCACAAGATGTAAACCATTGGTGAGCCTCAAAAACAGGAAGGCAAATTAGAGTTTGCCAAACGACATCTAAAAAAGTCTTCACAGTTGTGGAACAACATCCTATGGACAGATGAGACCAAGATCAACTTGTACCAGAGTGAAGGGAAGAGAAGAGTCGTATGGAGAAGGAAAGGAACTGCTCATGATCCTAAGCATACCACCTCATCAGTGAAGCATGGTGGTGGTAGTGTCATGGCGTGGGCATGTATGGCTGCCAATGGAAATGGTTCTCTTGTATTTTTAATGATGTGACTGCTGACAAAAGCAGCAGGATGAATTCTGAAGTGTTTCGGGTAATATTATCTGCTCATATTCAGCCAAATGCTTCAGAACTCATTGGACGCCGCTTCACAGTGCAGATGGACAATGACCCAAAGCATACTGCAAAAGCAACCAAAGAGTTTTTTTTAAGGGAAAAGAAGTGGAATGTTATGCAATGGCCAAGTCAATCACCTGACCTGAAACCGATTGAACATGCATTTCACTTGCTGAAGACGAAACTGAAGGGAAAATGCCCCAAGAATAAGCAGGAACTGAAGACAGTTGCAGTAGAGGCCTGGCAGAGCATCACCAGGGATGAAACCCAGCGTCTGGTGAGCTCTATGCATTCCGGCTGTAATTGACTGCAAAGGATTTGCAACCAAGTATTAAAAAGTGAAAGTTTGATTTATGATTATTATTCTGTCCCATTACTTTTGGTCCCTTAACAAGTGGGAGGCACATATGCAAACTGTTGTAATTCCTACACCGTTCACCTGATTTGGATGTAAATACCCTCAAATTAAAGCTGACAGTCTGC